TGGACTATGTAGGCAAGGCTTAAAACTCTAGTTGAACAAATACTGTAATAAATGGAGGTTAGGGAATGGATGGTCAACAGAAAAACTCACACCCACAAAGATGCCTCCAGTGTCAGAGCAGTGTGAGAAGCTTTCAGCATTTTACCTAGTAGATATTCTCCATCCTTTGGAGAATGCATACAATGCAACTATATTCACAATGAGACTCAGTGGTCAGGTTTATAGCAGCTGTTTTCTTTGACAGTTAGGGACAAGGGAGTTGCAGATGGCATTCCATTCTCTCCTGAGTAGGGAGACTAAGTTATAACATAAATATGTTTCCTTACATATGGCAACACTCATGTGTCCTGATAGGGAAAACCACACAAGAATTATATAGTACATCCAACAATGAGAGATGCACTCTCACCCTGAACTCTTGGGGGAGGGTCTAGGCCCTGCCCTGGATGAAATAACAGACTATGGACACCCCCATGGAGGGCCTCACCCTCCCTGGGGAAATGAGCAGATATTGGGGGGGGTTGGTGGGAGGGCATGGGAGGAGGGGAGGGAAACAGAGAGGGACCTGGAATTAGCATATGAAGCAACCTTGTTCCTAATTTAAATTTAAAAATTATATATATATATATATATATATAAAGAAAAGGAAACCCAAGACAAAGTACTAGAGGCAACTAAGAAATGGGGAGAGCAGGAGAAATATTCTTGCCTAGAAAAGAGCACACAAAGTAGTTATCCAGTACCAAATGGTTGGCCCTGAAAACCTACACATGCAAATAATACTATACAGATTAAGTGGGTATTTATGTATTTAAGTGTGTGTGTGTGTGTGTGTGTGTGTGTGTTACATGGAGGAAGAAAAGGAAAGGGAAATAATGTAGTTATATTATAATCTCAAAATATTTTTTAAAATTAATGGATATATCTAAGAATTATCTCTAAGAATTATCTGTGTAATTATCTTTGTAATTAAAAGTGACTTTACAGCCTCAAAACAAAAACAAAAAAAAATATAGGAAAACTTTTGAAACTTTTCTGAGGAACAAAAAGAATCAGTCTTAGACTTTGTAGATGGTTCAGTAGGTAAAGTTACCTGTCACAAAGCCTGACGATGGGAGTTCAACCCCCAGAACCCACACAGTGGAGAGAACTGACTTCCACAAGGTTTTCTCTGACCGCACTCACAACATGGCACAAGCCAAGTGCATTGACATGTGTGTGCACATGCGAATAAAAAAATAAAAAATTAACATGCCAGTTATCTTTCAACTGGCAATTTCTGCTTTAAGGCTGTCTTGTTTGTTTCCCCATAGCTGTTTTATACAGGATTAGTTGTCACACCATTGAGGTAAATAGTCACAATATATTGTACACTTGTACAAAACCTTCAAATGGCACATTAAACTGTATTCATTATAGTATCAACAATATTAACCAAAAATCCTAAACAGAATATTGCAATTGACTATGTAGATAGAAGTAAATTGAGGGAAATCAGTAGCTATTGATTGTCCCTGTTTTTCTGATTTAGTCAACCCCTGGTTGTAAGAAGCTGTTGCTTACTGTCAGTTTTTCTCATGTCCGAGTACTTTCAAAAAATTTTTCAGAATACTTCTCTTCTATTCATAGGCTTTTTGAAATCTATACACATAGAGAGAAATATAAATACTAATTATTCAAGAAATATACCCAATCCCTGTGTTTTACTCTCGTTAAATACAATCCTTAGTGAATTGTACTGACTTTTTCTTACTTAGGGTAGTGTTTGTGACAAAGTCTAATTAGTCTGGCATTGTTTTCAGTCATTTTTGCAAGATGAAGGGAAAGGTTATCTTGTCCCATGTTGCTGACCACAGAAAAGAAAAGATTGGTTAATAAGTACATTAGCCTTAAAGCAACAAGTAGACTTTAGTTCCAGACACCTGTTATTGGATCAAGAGTAAGATGCTGAGAGTAACCAAGCTAGACTATTTTCAAAATAGTATTTATGAGTCAAGGAAACAAAGTATAGACTAAAACACAATAACAAAATCTTTTACTGTAAATACCAATTTTAAAATAAGTGAAAATAAAATTTTCTGAAACTCATTATGGGATAGCTGTGAAGAGAGAAAGAGAAGGTCTTGTAATTGAGGCTTATAGGTATGTCCATAAAATCCACTGAAAATACAGGATTTTTCAAGTAAAAGTAATAAGATGTAAATGTGATCCCTCATAAATAAATATTCACAAGATTTTGGCAATAAATTTTATCCCACTAGAAATAACAATTTTGTTCTTACGTTTTCTCCTGTCCTTCTAATTTTCCTGAATGTTACAAAGAAGCATGCACTAACTTCCATTCTATAAAGCTGCAATTCTGTTTCATCTAAGCATAGCTACAAACTCTTAAACAAAAGGAGACATGAAATTATTTAAATAAAATCATTATAAACACAATCACATGTTTTCTATCTCCCTCCTAAACTAATTCCCTCTTTCCGTTGTCATTTGACATTTGGGGATTTTTGCCTTATAATTAAAACAATGGTTTTGATAGTTAGCAATCCTATAGCATGCAGCAATATGCATATAATTCCTTTTTTACACTTCCATTAAAACACCCCTGGTTAGTTTCAAGCAGCCTTTTATATGAGTAGGTGTGCTCTTTATCTGGTGTGCATCTGTTTCTTTCCAGAAGGCTAACATTCTCAGGATCAGCTGATTTCTCTCTTTCCCAGCTAGATATCGTCCCTTTCTGGCATATATATAATGTGCCTGCCTCAGCAAGCAGAGCAAGCACTGGTAGACAGGACATGCTCATCTGTCTATGCATAGGAGACCGAGGACCACAGAGGCAGGCACCTCCAGCATCCTATTTCTAAATTGTAAAAGGCCCATGGTGAATCCGGGTCTAGGGCTACCGCTAAGGAAGTAAAATGGAATGCTTTATATATTTTTCCAGTTAGATAAAGCATCACTTTTTCTCAATATTTCATATCTTTTCTTCCATTCACACTTTTTAATTGGCTGTTAAAAAGCATCAGCATTACCACTTGTTTTCATGTGCCTGATGAGACAGAGCAATTTAGCTCTGTGAAGCCAAATTGCACCTTGAAACACAAAGCCCACTTTAGCCTGCTGATTGTCTCAACACCCCCCCACACACACACACAAACAGTAACACTGACATCTAGAACTTTCCTCTGATGCATCTTTTTTTTTTTTTTGGCTTATCCTGATTTGTGTCTTTAAAAATAAACTACAATCATATCAGATACTGTTCATTAAAGTTCTGCAAGTCATTTTGGCAAACTATCTGAAAAGGTAGTAAGAACATCAAATTTGTAGCCAATTGGTCACAAGATTGAATGGTATGAGAATTATGGATCTTGAAGCAGGTGTGTGAATAGAATATAACCTCAGAAGTATTATGCCCTAAGCTTTGGAAATTTGACCCAGATCTGGGTAGAGTGTGAATCACACGGAACTAAGAAAGCTTGGGTTGCTGTTGAGTGACCTTGTGCCATAGTTACTGTTCTATTGCTGAGAAGAGACACCATGACTAAGACAACTCTTATAAGAGAAAGCATTGAATTGGAGAGGATGCTTAAAATTTCAGAGATGATAATTCATTATCATCATGGCAAGAATCCTCACCTTCCTAAGCTCCCTAAACAGTTCCAATAATTGAGGACCAAGCATTCAACCAGATGAGCCTATGGGGGCAGGTCTCATTCACCACAACTTTTGATTATTCTCAAAGAAATGTTTAAAGTCTAAACATCATCTGATGATGATGATTTTCTTCTTCTTCTTCTTCTTCTTCTTCTTCTTCTTCTTCTTCCTCTTCCTCCTCCTCTTCTTCTTCATCTTCTTCCTCTTCCTATTCTTATTCTTATTCCTCTTCTTCCTCCTCCTCCTCTTCCTTCTTCTCCATTTTCTGTCATGTTTCTGGGCATCTCCTTCACCACTCACAAATTAAAATTGGCTGCGCTAAATCAACTAACCTAAGTCATTTGCCCTTCTATGTTACATCCCCCTTTTTTTGTATGCTCAACTATTATCGCATTAAAAGGCCCATCCTTTAAAAGTCCTATCCTTTGTACCTACATAAGCTCTCATTGACTCCCCACTACACCACTACACATGATGCTCTTGGAGATCAGAAAGCAGTAACACCCCCATATGGTAATTTTAACACATTGAATAATTTGATACAGACTCAAAGGTCCTGAAAGCATTCTTGCTCCTCTCACCTCAAGGCTAAGAAGAAAGTCTGCAATTTTCTTTTCTATGCTCAGAGCAAACTGCATAAAGAACATCCCAGTCCTCCATCCCAAGCCTCAAGCCCCATTGTCTATCTCAGAAAAGAAGACTGAAGAATATAACTACTATGGCAGGAACTTCCAGTGCAAAATAATGTCTGTCCCCAGGGCTCATTCAAATTCCACAAAGAATGTCTCTAAGACTATTCTGGGAATAATCATGTAAGCCATTAAACTCTTGACAATCCCGACTTTCACCCTACCAGTCTGAAGGGGGGGTCATACAGATTTCTACATAATGACAAATGGATGAGCAATCATATTGCTATAATTTTCCTCCATATTGTGGTTCTCTTCTTTCCATGTGTTCATAAATTTTCTGCTTTTTTGCCCATTGACTTGAAGTCAGTATATTCCAGAAAACCTTCAGAGCACTGATGAGAAATTTCACTTTCCTCCAATAGTCCATTCTTACCCTCACCTACCATGTGGAAGCCCTTGTTTATCAACATAATCCTGAGAAATAGAAGTAACAGCCAGCCATGACCAGTAGAGAAGTCATATCATTAGGTGGCCTCACCTACTTTAGATCCCAGGAGGTAGGACAAACACTTCCTTGATCCCTTCTAACTCAGCCTTCAGCCTTTAGATAACCAATTTTACAAAGTTACTAGAAATCCTTCCATCCCTAAGTGTCTGCACTTTTGCCCTTTGAACTCATTTCGATGCACACAACCCTCACCCCACATATACCTTTCAAATTTCATGGAGGCAGACGAACAGGTCTCATCAGCCTGTCATTTAATCAGAGGTAGCACTTGGTAGTATTGGATTCTTCAGGGATGAATACCTATACAATATATAAATATGGCCTTGTAATTATTCAAAGTATGACAAGTTATTAATTGAGCAAACCCATCATCTCTTATTATCTTGCACCATATCTCATGCAGGAAAAGAAACAAAAGGAAAAGAAATCAGCAGAATTGGTAAGAAAGTCTATCAGAATGACAAAGCGCTAGCTAAAAAGTAATCAGCCATCATTCTCACTACGTCTACCCCCGCCTCACTGTAAAAACTGTGATAACTAAAATTTCTCCTGAAGAATTTAACAGGTGGTAAACACCCACAGAAGCTCTATCTTCCCATAATTCACTGCCTTGTCTCGGGAACAGAATGAATAAATAGTAGCTATACGGTCACTGGCAAATGACACAACTAGATAAATTTTCGTTCTCCTGGTTAAAATCACTTCTGGATTATCACGGAGGCAAGGTGACATAGTGTGTGGTTCACAGCAAGTTAGCAAAGGATATTCGCTATTGTTATTGCTGCCATCATTCTCCATTGAGAAGCAGGGTGCCGAGTGACCCTAACCCACTACCCTCAGGTGTACAGCACAGATTAGAAGTCTGTCTTCCAGCTATCCAACACTGAGAACTTGTTAAGTCATCTCATCTTTGATGTTCTTATCCACAAAATAAGGATAACAAATATTCCTGCCTCATGAGGTTGTTTTAAGTGCCTGTTGAAATAATGCATAGAAAGTGATGACTACACTGTTTGGGGCCAGGTACTATCAGCAGTCGTCTTTGTTCTGGAAAGAGTGAGTTTAGAAAAGAAATCCCTTTTAATCCAGAACTCATACATTTCATGTGCACCATCCCTTAGCTCTGTAACCATGGTGACAGCAGGTGACAGCTGAATATGTCGGCTCACTTATCAAGAGTGACTTTGCACTGATTGTCTTGCCTTACATAAAGATAAGCAGGCTTTCACCTCAAATCTAATGCATCTTCCTGCTTAGGACAGACAGACACTCCCTCCATTACTGTGTATCCAGAAAATCTAATGCATCTTCCTGCTTAGGACAGACAGACTCCTCTCCCAGCCCCTCACCCTCGTTGCTATGTGCCCAGAAAATGTAATGCATCTTCCTAGTTAGGATATTCAGACACTCCCTCCATTACTGTGTACTCCAAAAATCTAATGCATCTTCCTGGTTAGGACAGACAGACTTTCTCTCCATTACTGTGTATCCAGACCCTTTGAATATATACCAGCAGAGAACTACAAGTTCTCAGGGTTCTGGCAAGCAGAAAACTCTCTTCCTTATACAGTGAGGGTGCTGTTTGTATTGTGAGCATTAAGTAACTGTATATATAAGTCTACCTCCAACCAATATAGCTGTCTCAAATAGGATCAAGCCTAGTGGTCCCTGAATCTGCTCTGAATCAGGTTCAAACCTGACTCCACTGGTAGTCTTAGGCCTATTATCTCTTAATATCAGTTTTCTTTCTGATAGAATGCAACTACACATTACAGTTCCCCACCCCAATCTCTTGTTTTGTGAATTTGAGGTCTCAGATTTGGGAGTGGGAGGGGAGAAGCGCATACCTACTATATGCCATAAAGCACTGTGGCCAGAGTTCCCAGAAGTGTGCATGCTAAGGCTTCAAAAGACAAATACAGAATTATTTGAAGTAAATCAAAATTATGTGAAGTCTAAGCACCTTCTCAGCAGATAATTTCAAACAAGGTCAGATCTTGCTTCCAGGTGATTTTTTTAATGAAATAAAGCCTTATTTTTAGTGAGTTTGTTTATTTGGGCTTTAGTAGTGTAGAAATGTAAGAATGGACCTGGGAGCCTGGCATATTAATGCCTGCATTGGTGGTATCTTTGGAAACCAATAGACAGGTGATCCAAGTTGTATTTACACTAGAGACAATAATCCTTAACTTAGGAGTGTCTGCAGCCCAGAGCCACTCACAGCTATGAAAAAAAAATGTGGCAAATTTCCCACACAGCAAAGTCTCGCGACATTGCCTTTTTCCATCTTCCTCTGCATTACTCCTTTCACGTCAACCCTTCTTTACTCTGCTTAAGATGCTTGACTCGTCATTAAAATCACCCCTCCCTCGTACTCTCCAAACACCTTTGCCTTCCTCTCACCTGTCAAAAGCTCAAAACCAATTCTATCCAACCCCCACCTCTTTTTTTGTTTTGTTTTGTTTTGGGGTTTTTTTTTGAAGACCCCATGCTGAATTCATGGTCTTGAATTCAGCTGGTTATGTTACTCCAGTTTCTTCATTTTTTCAGTCAACCCTCTTTCCCTCAAGTCTACTCAAGCTTATGCTACTACATCATTCTCTCTACCAGAGGAAGGAAAGGAAAGAGGAGGGAGGAATGCTCTCAAAATCTCCTACCATCCTGCTACCCAGTATGAGTCTGGGCATAAATAATCTCTTCTAATTAAGAATGAAATATAACGCCGTTGAGCTTTCTTGGGTCATTTATTTTCTATATCTATTCTGTCATCTTCCAACCTTAATGCAAATTATTCTTCAATATCTCTTCTGGGACACTGAATGGGGACCTTAAACTCATTAATCAAAACAAGACCCTTCATCCCTTGCCCATAGCAAATCTGTTCCTCCCATAGTCTCCTTCACCATAGCAAACAGTACCTTCATTTTCACAGCTGCTCAAATTTTAAAAACTTACATTAACTTTAATGTCTCTTCTCTCCCCAATATGCATCACAATCCATCAGCAAATTCTGACAGTTCTACCTTCAACACAGTTTCAAAAAATAAGTATTTGTGATGCACCACCTTAATCTAAGACAGCATCTCACACTGTTGCTATAGCTACCATAATGCACCACCCTAATCTAAGACAGCATCTCACACTGTTGCTATAGCTACCTCTCTTATGCATGACTTCTTCCTTGCCCTTTCTGCTTATTTCTTCTGAACAGTCACTGAAATGATGCTTTCAATGTATCTCAAGTAGTAGTCTCCTCTGCCCAGCACCTACAGAGAAAAAGACCAAGTTGCAGCAAAGTCTGGAGTACCCAGACCCTAGAGTCTTTCTGGATCCCACTACCATGACTCCCTCTGTTACTACTGCTGTAGGCACAGTGTCTCCTTACCATCCCCTAGCATAGTTCCTATTCACACCACACATCTCTGCACTGAACACCTGTTCTCAAGATCTCAATGTGCCTTACTCCTGGGGCTCCATCAAGTCTCACTAGAGGACTGCTCTGACCCTCCTGGTTAAGGGCAACACTCCTCCTCATGGAATCGCTCCACTCCTGCCTATGTTTTTTTTCCTCTATACTTCTAACTCTCAAATGCAGTATTATTTTACCTATCTATTTGGTTATTACATAATAAGCATTAAAATATAAACTTCATAGATGGTGGCATTGATGCAATTTTGCACAATTTTCCCATAACCTAAAATTTTATTGGATAAAGCAGGAACCATGTTAGTTTTTTTAACATACGCATGAATTATAAGATTCTGTGTGTGCGTGGGAGGCATACTAGGTGGCTTTCTCCTTTCCAGGCCTTAGCTTGTATTCATTCCCTTCAGGCAACAGGAATTCCTACTGGACAGGCTGAAGGAGATTTTCCATGATTAAGCCACAAAGATCATCCTGAATGACTGTCGAGTTCCTTTGCTCCTTCACAGTTAAGGATTAGCATAAGGAGTAGATGTTGGCACACTGCTTTAATATGCTTACAAAGCATAGCAGTGCACTTCACATGAGGAACAATTAGTTGTGACTAACAACACAGAGCTAGTGGACTCTCATTTTATCCTCCACTCCTACCATTGTACCACAGTTGTGCCAGGCTTCTTTTGGGGTGCATATATCTGTACACACATCAGCAGTCTTTTTTATCAATTGCTCATATGAACAAACTATCCAAAATGCTCCCTAAAATGGAGCACTAAAGCAAAGTAAAAATAAGTAAAGCCCATGGTTTCTATTCATTTTTACTAAAATTAAGCTGAGCAGATTCTTCGTTGTTTTCAAGGCCAGACTTTGAAGAATTTTAAATTTTAATTTGTTTTATTGAGATATACTTCATATAAAGGCTGGGGAGGTGGTTCAGCGGATGAGTCAAACATTGAGCAAATATGAGGGCTAAGTTCAAATCTCCAGGACTCACATACAGCCAAGTGTGTAATGCACATCTGTAGTCCTGATGGGAGGCAGAGATCAGGGATCCCAGGCAGCTTTGGAGCCAGTAAGGAAAACTCAAAGGTCAGAGGCAAAACCTGAAGAGACCCTGTCTCAGGTTAAGAGAAATATGGAAGCCCACACTGGAAGTTGTCTTCTGACCTCCATATGTAGGCAGCTACATGTGCATACATACACTCCTACCCCAAATGTGAAAACACACACACGCGCGTGCACACACACACACACACACACACACACACACCATATACCTTCTAAACTGATCACTTAAAATAGGTAATTCCTGAGGCTTTAATGTGTTCCAAAGTGTACATGATTCCCAAGTTTTTAATATTCCCATCACCTGACCCCCCCAAAAAATCATAGCCACTTTGTAAAAGGAATGAACAAAATTGACAAAACCTCAGTGAGCCTAATAAATAAAAAAGAAAGCTGATTTAAATTATCAAAATAAGATTAGAAACGATGTCATGTAAACATAGAGATCCCAATGAATCTTTTTTTTTTTTTTTTTTTTTTTGGTTTTTCAAGACAGGGCTTTTCTGTGTAGCTTTGTAGATAGACCAGGCTGGCCTAGAACTCACAGAAATCCGCCAACCTCTGCCTCCTGGGTGCTGGGATTAAAGACAAGCACCACCACCACCCAGCCAATCCCAAGGAATCTTATGCATAACTAACTACTTGCAAATGAAGTAGAGATTTTGGGAGAGTTGGATAAATCCCTAAAACTTGCACTCTAGTAATAGTGAATCAGAAAGAAGCACAACACAGGAATAGAGTTAATGAATAAGGAGTTTCATCTGCAATGAATGCCTCCCTTCTTCTCTGGCAGTTAGAAGGCCCTGGCATCTCCAGTGTCCTGGGATCCAACCCTCCCCACTTTCCACAGTTCAGGGCTCAGCTCTATCGATGACCTGGATTCTCTACAGGGACCGCAGACCAGACCTCAGATTCTCTACATGATTCTTTAAATCTTGGTTGGGGCCTATACTTTCATTTAGGCTGCACCTTCACCAGCGACTTCCTCATGGTGACAAGTCTCAGCTTCACTCTAAGGCCCCATCAATCCTGCACATTTCATGTCACCAAATCCAGAACCACATGGGAAACTCTTACACAATACCAAGTTCTGCTGACAGCATGAGATAAAGCATCATTCATTTTTGAAGCCCAGCCTCTGTATGTTGATTCTGTGGAAATATATTTCAGAATATGTCACCTCAATAGTGCCTGTCCCATTAATCACAGCTGAGTTTTCAGCCCCAATTAACCAGCATCTATTGTTGTGGTAAGACAAAGGAATGCTGGCTTCTAGAGAGTCTTAATTTAGCAGCTTTGATGGAGTCTTTGATGGACTCTCAAACTTTCTTCTAAAATTTCATGAGCCAGGTATCCACTGTCTGCAATTCTATGAATGTTCTTATCTCCCAGGCTCCTACAACTCACTGCTGCTCATTAAGCTCTGAACATTCAATGATTTTTCCATCCAAATACGTTAAAACCTTCTAAAGTACAGAAATACCTCCTCATATCTGGACCAATATCAGTCAGTCCTAGTTTGCTTCCCTATTGTTTTGATACAACACTGGCCAAAAGCAACTTGACAGGGAGAGGATCCATTTATCTTACAGATTACAAATATCTATTATCATGGTGTGCCAATGCATGAATCCAAGGCACAACCTATAGGAAGGAAATGAAACAGAGACCATGGAAGAATTTTGCTCACTGGCTTGCACCCTGTGACTTCCTCAACTTGCTACCTTATATACAAGTAAGAATACCTGCTCAGGGATGGTGCCACTCATGCTCATCTGAGCATTTCCACGTAAATCAATAATTAATACAAACATGCCCATAGACAAATATGATGTTGGCAATTCTTCACTTGAGGTTCCCTATAGTTTGTATCAAGCTGATAAAAAAACTAACCATCACAAATGTACTCAATTGTAGATGTATATATGGATGTAAGTATAAGTGAAACAAATAGCAGCATTGATTCAAAGGACAGCAGAAAGGAATTAGAATGGTTTTGCTGTTATAAGGTACTTGCACTATTCATGAAGTGCCTTCCTGGTATATGAAAGCCCCTTGGATTCATTGGAAACATACATCACAAACTACATGGTTGTTCTGAATATCAATGTAAAAATTACTCTTTAAAAACATTGTCATCTCCCAGACAGTGATGGTGCACACCCAAACCCCAGCACTTGAAAGACAGAGGCACGAAGATCTCTGTGAGTTGGAGACCATCCTGGTCTACATAATGAGTTATAGGACAGCCAAAGTTATACATAGAAACCGTCTTACAAAAGCTGAAACAAGGCAGCCCACAGAATGGTAAAGATATTCACTAACCCCACATCTGACAGAGGGCTGATCTCCAAAATTTACAAAGAACTCAAGAAGCAAGTCTCCAAAACACCAAATGATCCAATTAAAAAGTGGGATACAGAACTAAATAGAGAATTCTTAATAGAGGAGTCTAAAATGGCTGAGAGGCACTTAAGAAAGTGCTCGATATCCCTAGCTGTCTGGGAAATGAAAATAAAAACAACTCTGAGATACCATCTTACTCCTGTCAGAATGGCTAAAATCAAAAACTCCAATGACAGTTTATGCTGGAGAGCTTATGGTGAAAGGGGAACACTCCTCCACTGCCGGTGGGAGTGCCAACTCATACAGCCACTTTCGAAGTCAGTATGGAGATTCTTCAGGAAAATGGGAACTAGCCTACCACAAGACCCAGCAATTCCACTCTTAGGCATATACCTGAAAGATACATATTCATACAACAAGGACGTCTGTTCCACTATATTCATAGCAGCATTATTTGTAATAGCAAGAACCTGGAAGCAA